ACGGATGATGATAGTGATGCTGATTATCATGGCACTGATGATTCTGGTGCGGATGACGACTCTGGTGACGACGGCTGTGCGATTGATGATGAAACCGATGCTGATGATTGCTGATTGTGATGGTCATTTCGCTGATGGTGGTGGTGATGATGATGATGACCCCAGCCTGAATGCCCCAACTATCAAACTCTAAGCCCTACTCCGAGGCCCCAGCCCTCGCGGGCTAGTCCTACGGCCATGCGCCTCATGCCCTAAACCTGCAACTCTCGCCCGCTCGCCCCACCCCTAAGACCCCATTTCAAAAACACAACCCCTAAGACCCTTCGGAGGTGGATATACCTCCTACCCCGACACGTTGATCAAGGAATGGGCCGTTTCCCTAAGGGGATGTTTGCTGAAGGGAGGCTTGTCCCCCGCCGAACCCTGACCCCGCCGACCCTTGCCATAGGATCCGAACCCTAAGGCCCTAACCTTTACGACAAGGGGAAGGAGGTTTGTTAAAGGGAGGTGTGTCCCCCGCCGAACTCTGACCCCGAGATCCCTGCCATGAGATCCGAATCCTGAGGCCCTAACCTTTTTAAGACAAGGGGGAAGAGGGCGCCAGGGGGCTCCAGCGGGTGCCCGCGGGCGCCCGCGGAGGTTTCAAGGGGCCCCCGGGCAGGGGGTTCGACGCCGCAGAAGAGGGTCCCTAGAAGAGCAGGTGCTTTCATGGTGTGGTTTCGCTTGCTTCTTCAGGAGCCTCGCAGAAGCCTCGCAGAGGCCTCTCAGAAGCCTCACAGGCGCCCGCAGGAGAAGGTCCTTAGAAGAACAGGTGCTTTCATGGTGTGGTTTCGCTTCTTCAGAAGCCTCGCAGAAGCCTCGCAGGAGCCTCCCACAAGCCTCAGGGTCTCGGGGAGGGCATTCTGGGGTTCTAAGACAGACCCCCGGGCGCCTATTGCAGTTCCGACTGGCCGCCGGGGGGGGGGGGTCCGGTGCGGCACAGGTTCTGCTTTTACAAAAGCGGAGTTTTCAATTCAGGCTAGCTTATACTTGAATTTTCGGAAGCATGTTGGGGATTGTTGGTGCTGAACCGATGGATGAGTCATCAGGGTAAATTGGGCGATGTTTCTCACTCAACGTAACCTGTGATTGAATCATCGGCATCATGTGTGCGATGGTTCGAACTCAGACTTCACTCATGGTTAAAATATCGGAATGATTTGCGCGATGGTTCTAATCAACACGAATTAACTGATGGCTGAATTATCGGGACGATTTTCGCGATGGTTCCATGCCAATTTAACTCATGGTTGATTTCGGAATAATTTGTACGATGCTTGTAATTCAGTCCCACTTATGATTGAATTATCGGAACTATGTGGGGATGGTTGGACTTCAACTGAATGTATGGTCGGGGTATCGGGATCAGTTGTGCGATAGTTTTAACTCAATGTGACACGTGGTTGAAATATCGGAATCACGTGTGCGATGGTTCGAACTCAAGGTTTATTAATTGGGAAATGCCGAGAAGGATTATGCGACGATCCTAATCAACACAATTGGTTTTAAGGTTGAATTATCTCGATCAGTTGTGCGATGCTTCCACTTCAATGTAACTTATGGTTGAAGTATCGGAATCAGTAGCGCGATGGTTGCGACTCAGTCCAACTTGAGGTTTGATGTTCGGAAGCATGTGGTGGATGCTTGAGGCTTGGATGTTCGGAAGCATGTGGTGGATGCTTGTGGTCCAAAAGAACCTTACAAAAACCTTACAACATCATTCCTGAGGAAGGCTTTAGGAAGGTTTCAGGAAGGTTTTTTGTCCCAAAAACCTTCAACACTTTCCAGGGGAAGGTTTTAGGAAGGTTTCAGGATTTTTTTTCCACAAACCGTCCAAAAACCTTCCAAAGGAAGGTTTTAGGAAGGTTTCAGGAAGGCTTTTGTTTCCAAAAACCTTCCAAACACTTTCCAGAGGAAGGTTTTACGAAGGTTCCAGGAAGGTTGTTCCCAAAACCTTCCAAAACAAACCTTCCCAAAACCTTCCTCAAGAAGGTGTTTGGAAGGTTTTTGTGCCAACCCTTCCTGGAACCTTCCTGTGGGAGGTTTTAGAAAGGTTTTCAGGAAGTGTGTGTGTGTGTTTTTTGTTTTCCTCCCAAGATAGGAATGTTCTTGGAAGGTTTGTGGGAAGGTTTTTGGAAGGTGTTTGGAAGGTTTGTTTGGACGTTTTTTTTTCTTATTTATTTAGCGTTTTTGGTCAGTTGTTGGTAGGTTGTTTTGGAAGGTGGTTGAACAGGTTTTTGCAGTGCATTGGGCGGCTTCGCTTATTTCAGGAAGGTGTTTGGAAGGTTTTTGGAAGGTTGTTGGATGGTTTGTTGGAAGGTTGTTGGAAGGTTTTCGGAAGGTTGTTGGATGGTTTTTGGAAGGTTCTTCGAAAAAACCTTCCTGAAACCTCCCTCGCCCCCCCCCCCCCGGGGAAACCTTCCAAAAAACCTTCCTAAAACCTTCCTCTGGAAGGTTTCAGGAGGGTTCGTCGGAACTCCGGCACCGGTCTCCCGGCGCCGACGGCGACGACGACGACCGTCGCTGCGGTTTTGCTACATTGTTATCCAGCTACCTGTGGCAATTTCCGCCGCTGTAGAGCTCAGCTCTTTGGGTGGCGACGAGTAGGCTGCAATGTGTGACACTTCGTTTCCTCTGGGGAGAAGGAGGAGGATGAGGAGCAGGAGGTAGAAAACGAATGCCTTAACATGCTTCGCTTGCTGTTGGGAGGCCCTGTCAGCAAGCCGCGCACGGTTGCCAATCGAACGATGCGACACGTTATGGTGTAGCGACGGTTTGAGCAGCGTTCACATTGGCATCACACTGTCACGTGGTTGTTCTGTGGTTGTCTTCGGTTGACGCAAGGACGTCCTGCCTCCTGTTTTTTTTCCAGTTGCCGTGAGGCCGTCATCGGGTGGCCTTGGAACATTGGAGGAGCATGATGAAGAGGACAACGAGGAGGATGAGGATGAGGATGAGTGTGATCATTGAGAGGATGGGGAGGAGAGCGGGAGGACATGCAGGACAAGCAGGACGAGGAGGAGTGGAAGTAGGAGGGGGGACGTGAAGGGGAACTTGATGAGGAACATGGTAGTTCGGAACGCGTACACAGAAGCCTCGGTGGACATTGCGTCTCGAGCAAATTTTGGCTCAGTAGAAAAATTGCGACTCTGTTCTCGCGATTTAATCTACAATCCCCAGAGGCGCGCGGGCACCGATGGCCAAACAAATCGTCATGGAGCTGACAGTCGTCCTTTGCGCGGCATTGGTCAGTTGCGTGATAGGCGGCGACTGCGACTGCATGACGGAGTGGACCTACGATGGCGATGTCGATGGGGTTATGGAGTCGTACGAGGGATGCAGCGCCACGGCCGACTGGAACCAGACGTGGTGCTACGTGCAGGGCGGTTCCAATTGCAACCAGGCCCTGAACTCCACCGTGGCCGGCGAGACGCGCAAGTGGCGCGAGTGCGGCTCCTGCAACTGCATGACGGAGTGGAACTACGATGGCGATGCCGACGGGGCTAATGAGTCGTACGAGGGCTGCAGCGCCACGGCGGACTGGGACCAGAGCTGGTGCTACGTGCAGGGCGGTTCCAACTGCAACCAGGCCCTGAACTCCACCGTGGCCGGCGAGACGCGCAAGTGGCGCGAGTGCGGCTCCTGCAACTGCATGACGGAGTGGAACTACGATGGCGATGCCGACGGGGTTATGGAGTCGTACGAGGGCTGCAGCGCCACGGCGACTGGGACCAGAGCTGGTGCTACGTGCAGGGCGGTTCCAATTGCAACCAGGCCCTGAACTCCACCGTGGCTGGCGAGACGCGAAAGTGGCGCGAGTGCGGCTCCTGCAACTGCATGACGGAGTGGAACTACGATGGCGATGCCGACGGGGTTATGGAGTCGTACGAGGGCTGCAGCGCCACAGCGGACTGGGACCAGAGCTGGTGCTACGTGCAGGGCGGTTCCAATTGCAACCAGGCCCTGGACTCCACCGTGGCCGGCGAGACGCGCAAGTGGCGCGAGTGCGGCTCCTGCAATTGCATGACGGAGTGGAACTACGATGGCGATGCCGACGGGGTTATGGAGTCGTACGAGGGCTGCAGCGCCACGGCCGACTGGGACCAGAGTTGGTGCTACGTGCAGGGCGGTCCAATGCAACCAGGCCCTGAACTCCACCGTGGCCGGCGAGACGCGGAAGTGGCGCGAGTGCGGCTCCTGCAACTGCATGACGGAGTGGAACTACGATGGCGATGCCGACGATGGAGTCGTACGAGGGCTGCAGCGCCACGGCCGACTGGGACCAGAGTTGGTGCTACGTGCAGGGCGGTTCCAACTGCAACCAGGCCCTGAACTCCACCGTGGCCGGCGAGACGCGCAAGTGGCGCGAGTGCGGCTCCTGCAACTGCATGACGGAGTGGAACTACGATGGCGATGCCGACGGGGTTATGGAAGCGTACGAGGATGCAGCGCCACGGCGGACTGGGACCAGAGCTGGTGCTACGTCAGGGCGGTTCCAACTGCAACCAGGCCCTGAACTCCACCGTGGCCGGCGAGACGCGCAAGTGGCGCGAGTGCGGCTCCTGCAACTGCATGACGGAGTGGAACTACGATGGCGATGCCGACGGGGTTATGGAGTCGTACGAGGGCTGCAGCGCCACGGCGGACTGGGACCAGAGCTGGTGCTACGTGCAGGGCGGCTCCAATTGCAACCAGGCCCTGACTCCACCGTGGCCGGCGAGACGCGCAAGTGGCGCGAGTGCGGCTCCTGCAACTGCACGACGGAGTGGAACTACGATGGCGATGCCGACGGGGTCATGGAGTCGTACGAGGGCTGCAGCGCCACGGCCGACTGGGACCAGAGCTGGTGCTACGTGCAGGGCGGCTCCAACTGCAACCAGGCCCTGGACTCCACCGTGGCCGGCGAGACGCGAAGTGGCGCGAGTGCGGCTCCTGCAACTGCATGACGGAGTGGAACTACGATGGCGATGCCGACGGGGTTATGGAGTCGTACGAGGGCTGCAGCGCCACGGCGGACTGGGACCAGAGCTGGTGCTACGTGCAGGGCGGTTCCAACTGCAACCAGGCCCTGAACTCCACCGTGGCCGGCGAGACGCGCAAGTGGCGCGAGTGCGGCTCCTGCAACTGCATGACGGAGTGGAACTACGATGGCGATGCCGACGGGGTTATGGAGTCGTACGAGGGCTGCAGCGCCACGGCCGACTGGGACCAGAGCTGGTGCTACGTGCAGGGCGGTTCCAATTGCAACCAGGCCCTGAACTCCACCGTGGCCGGCGAGACGCGCAAGTGGCGCGAGTGCGGCTCCTGCAACTGCATGACGGAGTGGAACTACGATGGCGATGCCGACGGGGTTATGGAGTCGTACGAGGGCTGCAGCGCCACGGCGGACTGGGACCAGAGCTGGTGCTACGTGCAGGGCGGTTCCAATTGCAACCAGGCCTGGACTCCACCGTGGCTGGCGAGACGCGCAAGTGGCGCGAGTGCGGCTCCTGCAACTGCATGACGGAGTGGAACTACGATGGCGATGCCGACGGGGTTATGGAAGCGTACGAGGGCTGCAGCGCCACGGCGGACTGGGACCAGAGCTGGTGCTACGTGCAGGGCGGCTCAAATTGCAACCAAGCCCTGGACTCCACCGTGGCCGGCGAGACGCGCAAGTGGCGCGAATGCGGCTCCTGCAACTGCATGACGGAGTGGAACTACGATGGCGATGCCGACGGGGTTATGGAGTCGTACGAGGGCTGCAGCGCCACGGCCGATTGGGACCAGAGTTGGTGATACGTGCAGGGCGGTTCCAATTGCAACCAGGCCATGGACTCCACCGTGGCCGGCGAGACGCGCAAGTGGCGCGAGTGCGGCTCCTGCAATTGCATGACGGAGTGGAACTACGATGGCGATGCCGACGGGGTTATGGAGTCGTACGAGGGCTGCAGCGCCACGGCCGACTGGGACCAGAGTTGGTGCTACGTGCAGGGCGGCTCCAATTGCAACCAGTACCTGAACTCCACCGTGGCCGGCGAGACGCGCAAGTGGCGCGAGTGGCTCCTGCAACTGCATGACGGAGTGGAACTACGATGGCGATGCCGACGGGGTTATGGAGTCGTACGAGGGCTGCAGCGCCACGGCGGACTGGGACCAGAGCTGGTGCTACGTGCAGGGCGGTTCCAATTGCAACCAGTACCTGAACTCCACCGTGGTCGGCGAGACGCGCAAGTGGCGCGAGTGCGGCTCCTGCAACTGCATGACGGAGTGGAACTACGATGGCGACGCCGACGGGGTTATGGAAGCGTACGAGGGCTGCAGCGCCACGGCCGACTGGAACCAGAGTTGGTGCTACGTCCAGGGCGGTTCCAACTGCAACCAGGCCCTGGACTCCACCGTGGCCGGCGAGACGCGCAAGTGGCGCGAGTGCGGCTCCTGCAACTGCATGACGGAGTGGAACTACGATGGCGATGCCGACGGGGTTATGGAGTCGTACGAGGGCTGCAGTGCCACCGCCGACTGGAACCAGACGTGGTGCTACGTGCAGGGCGGCTCCAACTGTGATCAGGCCTTGGACTCCACCGTGGCTGGCGAGACGCGCAAGTGGCTCGAGTGCACCCCGTCGACCCTTTCACCGACGCCGGCACCAGACATCGAGAGTGCCTCAGGCGTTGGAGAGCCGACCATGACCGCCGCCATCTTCGCGATTATTCTTTCGACCGCCTGTGCGTGAGGCTAGGGCGCAGAGATCCTTCTGGTGCAGAGATTGGGACGGATCATGGCGGCCATCTAGTACTTGACCATGGGATTATAGTTTGAGCTGGACAGAGTTTTGTTCTGACGGGAGGGTCCGCTCATGCTGCCCAGTGTCTCCTTCCTCATTGACAGTGTTCCAACAGCCGCTTCCCATGTTTCCTCCCAACTTTGCTTGAGATCTTTGGGGAGGGTGACGGGGGGGAGGAGGATCCAGGGAGTCTTTCTCGAGGCTCGTAGCTTCGAACCAGGTCAAGGTTTTCATTTTGACTTTGCTGTGGCGCAGCTGCGCCGCGAACTTGCTGTGACGCAGCTGCGCCGCGAACTTTGCAGCCCGCGTGAGGCCCACGTGTGGATTTGTGTTATCTGGACTGGCCGCTTTATTGTTTGACTCGTTGCCTGCTGCTCCTCATCCTTTGCCCCTCGTTTTTTCTCTTACCCCGTGTCCTCTTTGCTCCCTCCTCATCCTCTCCATCTTCATTCTACCGATGCCATGCCCGCCAGCATGCAACGCGCATTCATAAGGTGCGGAGTGGGTCAGCACGTCGGGGGGTATCTCTCGAGCTGCTACAAAGCCCGACGACGCAACGGCCCTCGAGCCAGCGCAGTACTCTGCGCAGCGACGCTTCAGACACACGTTGCAAAGACGTTTCAACTGTTTAAGCGCCTGCGAGCCGCAAGCATGCCATGGCACGTGATGATGCTGAAAATGATGCGGAGGATGCTGATTGTCAGTGTGGCGACCGTGACAAGGATGATGATGTTGACGATGCTGATGCGTATGATGATGGTAATGATGATGCGGATGAAGATGAAGATGAAGATGAAGATGAAGATGATGATGATGATGATGATGATGATGATGATGATGATGATGATGATGATGATGATGATGATGATGATGATGATGATGATGATGATGATGATGATGGTGGTGGTGGTGGTGGTGATGATGATGCTGTGGGTGGTGTTGGAGGTCATGCTGGCACGGATGATGGTAGTGATGCTGATTTTCATGGCACTGATGATTCTGGTGCGGATGACGACTCTGGTGACGACGGCTGTGCGGTTGATGATGAAACCGATGCTGATGATTGCTGATTGTGATGGTCATTTCGCTGATGGTGGTGGTGATGATGATGATGACCCCAGCCTGAATGCCCCAACTATCAAACTCTAAGCCCTACTCCGAGGCCCCAGCCCTCGCGGGCTAGTCCTACGGCCATGCGCCTCATGCCCTAAACCTGCAACTCTCGCCCGCTCGCCCCACCCCTAAGACCCCATTTCAAAAACACAACCCCTAAGACCCTTCGGAGGTGGATATACCTCCTACCCCGACACGTTGATCAAGGAATGGGCCGTTTCCCTAAGGGGATGTTTGCTGAAGGGAGGCTTGTCCCCCGCCGAACCCTGACCCCGCCGACCCTTGCCATAGGATCCGAACCCTAAGGCCCTAACCTTTACGACAAGGGGAAGGAGGTTTGTTAAAGGGAGGTGTGTCCCCCGCCGAACTCTGACCCCGAGACCCCTGCCATGAGATCCGAATCCTGAGGCCCTAACCTTTTTAAGACAAGGGGGAGGAGAGCGCCAGGGGGCTCCAGCGGGTGCCCGCGGGCGCCCGCGGAGGTTTCAAAGGGCCCCCTGGCAGGGGGTTCGACGCCGCAGAAGAGGGTCCCTAGAAGAGCAGGTGCTTTCATGGTGTGGTTTCGCTTGCTTCTTCAGGAGCCTCGCAGAAGCCTCGCAGAGGCCTCTCAGAAGCCTCACAGGCGCCCGCAGGAGAAGGTCCTTAGAAGAACAGGTGCTTTCATGGTGTGGTTTCGCTTCTTCAGAAGCCTCGCAGAAGCCTCGCAGGAGCCTCCCACAAGCCTCAGGGTCTCGGGGAGGGCATTCTGGGGTTCTAAGACAGACCCCCGGGCGCCTATTGCAGTTCCGACTGGCCGCCGGGGGGGGGGTCCGGTGCGGCACAGGTTCTGCTTTTACGAAAGCGGAGTTTTCAATTCAGGCTAGCTTATACTTGAATTTTCGGAAGCATGTTGGGGATTGTTGGTGCTGAACCGATGGATGAGTCATCAGGGTAAATTGGGCGATGTTTCTCACTCAACGTAACCTGTGATTGAATCATCGGCATCATGTGTGCGATGGTTCGAACTCAGACTTCACTCATGGTTAAAATATCGGAATGATTTGCGCGATGGTTCTAATCAACACGAATTAACTGATGGCTGAATTGTTGTCGCTTCGCGAATCCCCACCAGCCCATCCAGAAACGATGCCCAGAGGAATTGCCTCGATCAGAGAAGTGGGCAGCACACAGAGGAAGCCATTATGAGACATCTTGGGATATCTTGAGCCATCTTGGAGGTCATTTTGGGCTCTCCCAGACGCTCTTGGAGTCATCTTAATCCGTGCCCCCCCCCAAGAGGCCTCCATGTGGCTAAAACCTGTGTAGAATCAATGATTAGGCATTCTCGCCGAGGCCTCTTGGAGCATCTTGGGTGCATCTGGGGGGGCTCTTGGGGCCTCTTGGGGGTCTCTTGGGGGCCTCCGGGGGGCCTCTTGGGGGCCTCTTGGGGCCATTTTGGGGCCATCTTGGGACCTCTTGGGGCTTCCTGGGCGCTTCTTGGGGCCATCTTGGAGGAGATCGATCAAACAAGAGGGGGGGTTTAATTAGCGTCCCCCCTCGGAAGCCCCTAAAATCGCCTCTTGGACCCCTCTTGGAACGCTCTTGGAGTGCTCTTGGGCGCTCTTGGGGCCGTCTTGGGGCTCTTTTGGGGCTCTCTTGGGGCCCTCTTGGGCCATCTTGGAACCATCTCCAGGCCTCGGATGGCCATCGGAAGCGAAAAGGCGAGAAAGCAAAAATCATTGATTTTCCTTAGGTTTTGGGACGATTTTGGCCTCTTCGGGGCCTCCTTGGGGAGCTGTTTGGCCACTTGGAGTTATCTTGGGGCCGTCTTTGGGCTTCTTGGAACCATCTTAGGAGCCATCTCGAGCGATCTTGCGCTATCTTGAGCCATCTTGGAGCTCATCTTGGGTTCTCTGAGGCGCTCTTGGAGCCGTCTTGGGCCATCTGGGACGCTCTAACTACCCGCGGCCCCCCCCGTCCAGGTCCAGGGGAGGGGGTAGGGGGAGGGGTAAACCCCTCCCCAAGGGGGAAGAGGGAGGGGTGGAAGAGGATCTGCTCTAGACCACCTACGCCCAGAGGGCTGGTGGGATTATCGGGACGATTTTCGCGATGGTTCCATGCCAACTTAACTCATGGTTGATTTCGGAATAAGTTGTACGATGCTTGTAATTCAGTCCCACTTATGATTGAATTATCGGAACTATGTGGGGATGGTTGGACTTCAACTGAATGTATGGTCGGGGTATCGGGATCAGTTGTGCGATAGTTTTAACTCAATGTGACACGTGGTTGAAATATCGGAATCACGTGTGCGATGGTTCGAACTCAAGGTTTATTAATTGGGAAATGCCGAGAAGGCTTATGCGATGATCCTAATCAACACAATTGGTTTTAAGGTTGAATTATCTCGATCAGTTGTGCGATGCTTCCACTTCAATGTAACTTATGGTTGAAGTATCGGAATCAGTAGCGCGATGGTTGCGACTCAGTCCAACTTGAGGTTTGATGTTCGGAAGCATGTGGTGGATGCTTGG